GGTTGTTGGTTTTGTTGGTTTTTGTTAATAATTCTATTTTTAGAATGATAAATCTGTATCTGTTTATACTGCGACCTTTTTGATTTTAATCAAATAATCCTTTTTAATGCCGGCTTGAGGCCTGAAGACGATCTCCGGAGGAGATTGAAATATATTGGGAAATAATGTATTTGAATGTGTTTTAATACCATTAACACCCTGACCTCAAGCCGGCATTAAAAAGGATTATTTGATTATTTTTAGAATGTTTAACTTTTAGGTGTGCTCGTCCTTAAGTTATTTGTTTTTGTTATTTTATGGCCTTATAACAATTATATTCAACAATTTTTATTGAGCTCGAGGCCGTTTTTAATGAGTGTGCTGAACTAGTTTGTTTTCGGTACGTCCCAAATGTCGAAGGACAACTTAAAAAAAAAACGTAAAAATATGAAAAATATAAAATTTTCTCGATTACAGGAGAGGATAAAAAATTTTTTTTTTTAATCATTCATTAATATTATTAATAGTATTATTTTTTTAATATCTCGGGATCTAGCGAAAAAAACTAGTTCAGCACACTCAGCGACCTTGAGAATATCAGATACCACCTCGAAAAAATTTCCAAAGGCCTCAGCCACGCATCTAGATTCAGGTTGAATAATATGCCGATATCTCGAGAAGTAATGAACGTAAAATCCTCTGCAATGACTCATTTTGTGCGCTAAGGTTGTGGCTATACACATCATCATTGACGTAAAATCAAATAAATTTTTTCTAAGAAATAATCACATTGTAAATTTCAATTTTGGGGTTTTTCCCCCTTTTTTATTATTTATTCGTATTATCTAAAATGGTAAGAGCCGAATCGAAAAAATAACTCTTCTAGTGTATTCAGCGACCTCGAAAGCACATTATAAGATCTTAGAAAACTTAAATTTCCAGAGAAATTTCGCGTGCGCAATACAAAAATCGACTTGAGCGACCTCTTAATTTAATTTTTTTTTTTAAATCAAGTTATGTACTTTCATTTTTTAGCAAAAGGAACACAAATTTGCGTGAGCACTGAATAATATTGAAAAAAGGGATTTTGTGGACCACTCTAATGCAGTTATTTAAATGCTGGTTTGCTATTCGCGCGACAAACTTTTTTAAAAACGAATTAAATTAGTACAAATTGTTAGTAATTTTCATTAGAGTTTGAGTAACTCCTTTCACTAAATGGCTTTTAGTAACTGTTTAAGCGACTTATGCATTTCCCGCATAAACAAAGAACAGCGAACACACACACGCACTTGTATATTGCACTCCCGCCCAAAACCAAGTGCAGCGAATAAACACACGCACTTGTGCTTAAAAATAATTCGTTCGTTCTTCATTGGGTATGCATTTTTTAATGCACTTCTCAACTGCCGCAGAACAAAACCTACTAAAGTAGTGAATTGCTGGCACTCCAAATCATGCTCAACAATCCCGCTTGATGCATCACCACTCCTCCGGAGTGGGTTTAAACAGCAAAAGCCAAAGCGCTACAAGCTGTCGGGGCTCTGTATGACTTTCAGCATACAGAGGTGGTACAAGAGCTACCATTGGCCACAGCGCCTACCCAATTTTTTAACTTGAATAAATAACCGGTGCTCAACACTCCGCTTGACGCACACCCCCCAAAAACTCTTACAGAGTTTAAGCGGCAAAGCCACAGCGCTACAAGCCGTAGGGACTCTGCATGACTTACAACCATGCAGAGGTGGTAACTGATGGTTATCATTGGCTCCGACGCCTACCCAAAACATTTTTTGCTTTAATAAATTTCTATGCAAATACATTCATCCTGGTCCCGCCCTCACACTGAGTTATTCAGTAACTTGAACAAAACCTTAACTTATTTTATTTTATTCATTTTAGTGCAGTTTTGACAAAATTTTCTTGCTAAAAAATCTTTTGTTACACTACTTTATTTTATTCCTTTGATTGTACATGTTAAATAAAATTTTGTTTTTAAAAACTATTTTTTTTTACATTATTTTATTAACTCATTGATTAAAAATAAAATATAGAATAGCTTAAGGCCCTAGCAGCCAAAGCTATGTTCCCCCTTTCTGTTAGATTTAACTTTTTAAACTTTTCTAACAGCTGTAAATAAATAAATAAAATGATAGTGATGATATTTTTAACTAGACGTAGAATGACAAAATGCCCCCAACACTCCACAAATATTTCATCCATGGGCCAGAGATAACATCCCACGCTTTCCCTGCAGGAAATGTAACTAACTATAAGCTAACGTTAAGTTGATTAGGAAGGAGCTAAAAGTCACTTATTATCTGTATATTTTCTTTGACGAAGGCTAACTATATTTCTATGGCGATGGCCGCGAAATAGTCAAGGGTGGTTACCTCTGCATTAGATGTAGTCAAGGGTGGTTACCTCTGCATTTGATGTAACTAACTTGTAACTAACTACTTTTGGACATAAAATATCAATAGGAAAAACAAAATATATTTTTATACCCGAGCGCACTTGTGCACAAGGGTATTATAACTTTGTTCACATAACGGTTGTTTGTAACAGGCAAAACGAATCGAGATAGATATAGACAAATGTATACATAAATGATCAGAATGAAAAGAGAAATCGATTAAGCGGTGACTGTCTGTCCGTCCGTCTGTCCGTCCGTCCGCCTGTGCACACGATAACTCGAGTAAAAATTGAGATATCTTAACGAAACTTGGTACGTGCACTTCTTTTGGGCGTAAGACGGATGGTATTGAAAATGGGCGAAATCGGACAATAACCACGCCTACCTCCCATATAACGGTAATTTTAAGAAATACGAAAACTGCGATATTTTAGTAACTACTGAAGCTAATTCACTCAAAATTGATACTTACAATGAGTTTCAGACAGAAAACATGAATATTATAAATTTTTGGAAAATGGGCGTAGCCACGCCCACTTATGGTTACATGTGTATATCTTGGTAACCGCTGCACCAATTTCTTCCAAACTTGGCACAGTTGTTGGCCTTAGTACAGCATACTAAATGGCTGAAACTTTTAAAAATCGGACATTAACCACGCCTACCTCCCATATAACGATAATTTTCAGAAAAACGAAAACTGCGATATTTTAGTAACTACTGAAGATAATGCACTCAAAATTGATATTTGCAAAGAGTTTTAGACGAAAAGTAAGAATATTACAAAATTTTGGCTAATGGGCGTAGCCACGCCCACTTATGGTTACATGTGTATATCTTGGTAACCGCTACACCAATTTCTTCCAAACTTGGCACAGTTGTTGGTCCTGGTACAACATACCAAATAGCCGAAATTTCTAAAATCGGACAATAACCACGCCCACATCCAATATAACGGTAATTTCGAGAAATACAAAATCTTCGATAAATCAGTAA